TCACTGTACGGACCTTGCCTGGTGGCTAGGGAATTGCAGCATGGCCCATTAAAATACACTGACTGACATTGACTACAAACAGAATTTTTTGCTCTTGAGTGGTTGTGGTTAGCATTTTTCTGACTGACCAAAACAATAAATTAAGCTCCAAGACATATTTGCTTTTCTTATGCTGGCTTAGCAGGTAGGAAGGGAGAAAAATTCTGATCAACTTAATAGTTCAGTTAACATAGCAAATTGCCCTTTCCCATAACTTTTTAATTTGATCCACCTTATTATTTTTTGCAGGCTAGAATTATTACAGCGATCTTATCAAAATTAAAGTTTTAATTTCCAATTATGTTGAAAACAGTTTCTAAATTTGGATAAGCAAACTGAAAGCATGTTTCAATGTCAATCAACCAAAAAGTGAAATTTCTATAAAAAAAATGGATAAAGACATAGCTGTCTGAAAATTATGCGAGGAGCGTGGCAGTGGAAGTCAACAATATATGACATAAAAAATAAGAAAATTTTTTTTTGTGGATTCCTACACCTTCACTTGCAATGAATAACAGAAAAATCATTTGTTATGCTAAAAGTGACAACCATGACTAGTAATGATTAAATGGACGAAACAGCACTGCAGCAAGGGTGTGCTATTGATAGGTTCAATGATAATATTTCAGTTCATAGTGAGATAGACAAAAAAATATGAGTGCTTGCCTTTTGAGAAGAGTGAAATAAATCTTGTTACTTTGTTTTTCTAATATGCAAACAATATCATTAATATTAAATATTGTAATGATAATAACATAAAAAGTAATACAGTGCACTAGATTTTAGAAAGCTAAGCTTTTCATTTTTTTATTTTATTATTAGTAAAGAAAAATTTTTCACAAAAAGGGCACATGAACATGGATTAATCAATTTGTCCTACACTCTGTATGAAAGAAAATAGGGCCCAGGGCTATGGATGACATATTGAAAAGAATTTTATGAATGCTAATAAAATATGCTCTTTCCTTGAAATTTTTTTAAAAAAAAGATTGTTTTGTAGAAAATTCAACTTGTGATAAGCCATCAATTATTCACCATATGTACAAGATGGATCGACAATTTATTCAGAGTTTATGAGCATATAAAACACAGGGACCGAAAAAAAGGTTACAGACAATGGCACAATGAAGCGCTATCTCTGGAACAAACTTATAATGCAGATGAAACTGGTTTTTTTCACAAATGAAATACTTTGGTAACATTTGCAGAAAATGTCCCAACTGGTATTGAAAACTCCAAAGTGAGACTAACAATTTTGCCATGTGCAAATGCTACAGAAATGCACAAATATAAATTTTTCATAACTAAAAAAAATATATGACCTTAGGCATTTAGAAGAACAGAGATTTTCCCATTATCTATTTTTCAAATAAAAGAGAATGAATGACACAAACTTTAGTGAATGATTGGTTTGAAAATGTTTCATATCTGTGGCTCGATGGCATTCGAAATCAGTTTATCAAGTGATGCAAAAATTGTCCCAATTTAGACAACTGTTCAGCTCATACTTCATTTACGGTTTTAGTAAAAGATAACATCTCAGTCTTATTTTTTCTTGCAAATTGTACAGCCATCTTTCAGCCAATGGATATTGGAGGCATGGATGTGCTGAAAAACAGATATTAAGTAGCCTTTTTTTAAATTTATGTTAAATTTTCTGAACAGTAACAGGGCCATTCAAGAATTTTGAAATATTTTAACATAAAATCTGATTTGTATACCACTGCAAGATCATAGCAGGTCATTTTTGCAGATATTTTTTTTAAATGTTTGTTATAATTTCATGATGATGACAGCCACAAATGTCACAAACAAAAGGGAAAATTTCTCAATTAATGAAATTTGTGAAAAAAATATACATAGAAGTGATAACAAATGAAGATGAAATAGCATAAGTTTTATTACAATAAGAATGTCCTAATCAATCAACTAAGGAACAGTGAAATCTGTAGTATGGTTTCAAATACAAAAATTATCGCTACCAATAGCGATGAAAGTGACAGATCAATTGCTGAGTTTTAAAAGATTTCGACTGACATCTTATTGGGAAATTTCAACATGGGAATTATAAAACTGAACAAGAAACTGCCTATCTATAAAATTAAATGGGAAGTATCGACACAAAAAAATGAAACAGTTTAAATAATTTACACTGAAAAAAAAACATTTAATAAAACACACAAATATTGAGCTTTTTTTGGTAAACTTTAGTTCCCTTAAGATATACATCTTTCAATTTCATAAACAAATATTTCATATTTTTAATTTTAAAAGTCATCCCACTAGATTTAAAATGATATAAAATCCGGAAATTTACGAAATCTATAATCGTGATTTTAGATCTCAAGTTTGTACTGTAACATGCTTATCTTTGAAAATGTGATTATTTCAAAAGATCAATTTCATTTCACTCAATGTTTCATTATGCACAGTAGGCTTACTGAATCTAAAATAGGCATTTCCAATACACTTTTTAATTTCTGGTAGAAACTATCAATATGCTATGCTGTCAGTTACAAGGAAGGATTGTAGTGGGGAAACTTACTTTTATGTGGTCTTAAAATGTGTTACATGAGCTTAAAAATTGCATCAAATATCTTTCCTTGAACATGAGTTTTTCAGTGTAACAAATCCACAACCTGAAAGACTTAAAAATGATGACTTCATTTTCTATTGTGTGTGATAGGTCACGCGCAATAGTAATGTGATGTAACACATAAGATGTAGCACTAGTTACACTAGTAACACAACATGTATCCGAAACAGGTCTTCGTGATGAATTATTAGCACTATTGCCTCTTACAGGTCACACTCATGGTGAAAGTTTTTGTACTGCTATTTTGGAATACTTGACTACAAATGAAATCGACCTAAATAAATTTGTTTCTATTGCTATAGACGAAGCACCAAGTATAATGGGTAAAATCAAAGGTTTTGTTTTACTCTTCAAAGAAAAGGTGGATCGTGATATGCTTTTTTCCTCAGGGAAAGTTTCTTTTCACTGTGTGACTGGTACGGAGGCACTCTGCACACTTACACTTCCAAAAGAGATTGCATGTGGGATGGATTTAGTCATTAAGATATTAAACCAAATAATAACAAAAGGACTTTTTCTCAGACAGTTTTCTGGATTATTCGAGGAAGAAAATAGCCAATATTCTGATCATCTTCTGCATAAGAAAGTGTGTTGGCTGTCTAGAGACTCAGTACTGAAACCTTTCACTTTGTGACTTGACCATACCAAGACATTCCTTATTCAAAAAGGAACAGAATACCCTGAGTCAAGTATTGATGAGTGTTGCAAAATTTTTATTTTTCTGTTGATATGATATCACATTTAAACTTGAATAAAAATCTACAAGAGAGAGGTAATATTGCACACACGGTATTAGAAGTGATACTTTTGCTTAAACAACAATTAATATTATTTGTTCAAGATATGGAGATCACAGAAACAATTCAGTTGTATTATTAAAAGTGCATTTTTTGTATTATTAAAAGTGCATTATTTGTCGCAGCTGTTGTAAAAATGTAAGTCTTTTAAAACTTGTTTTAAAGATTTTAGATCTGAAAAGCCTACTCTATCACTTTTAAAAGAGCCACTAGTGGCAAAAGTGTGCAAGTTGAATTTTATACCATTCCCAAACAATGATCTCAATTTGAGTTACAGTTGTTAGATTTGGGGGGAAGGGAAGAATTTATAGACAGAAAAGTTTGTAAATTTGCAACAGAAACTTGAAAATGTAGCTAGAGAGAAAGCGAAATCGGCTGCCAGACACCAATGAAAGGATCTCTCAAAATGTAGGACAGAGGAAGAAATTATATTTGAAATAAAGAACTGCCTTTCTGATTTTTATGATCAAGTGAAAACATATGCATGTGGCATTTTAAAAATGTTCGAATCTACGTCTTACTGCAAACAATTACTTTCAGATATGACCATTATTAAAAACAAATTAAGTATGCTTAATGACGAAAGCCTCGAAATATGCATGAAAGTTAAAAACTTCTGAGCTCAAAATTTTCTGAATTTTGTTGTTTGACTTCTAAATTAATAAAGTGTTTTGGCTAGAAGATAACTGTTACATTATTTTTTTTCTAATATTACCAATGTTTGCACTTATATCTTGCTTTTTAAAAGTAAATAATTTCCCACATATGGGAAAAAATGGCTCTTAACTCCAGTAAAGGTTGCCAACTACTCATATATACTATTATAGTTAAGCATGATTGACTGACATTACATGTAATGATATATCTTACCAGATTCTACAGTTTAAGAAAAAAATTCTGCTAATTCAGATAACCCAATTTTTATCTTGCATACCTATTTTTTTTTTTTTTTTAAATCTTTGAATCAAGTTAGATAAGGTTATTTGAATATGCCTAAGAACATGAGGGCCATCTGCCTCAGGGAAAGGATGTTTTTGTGAATATTTTTCTCAGAAAAACTGACTTGTATTCTCCACATACATGGGAAAAACCATGAAAAGAACCATGCAAGCAGCTCATTTACCTGTGATCAAACCCAGGTCAAACTTCCTGTATACAGTGGTCTTAAACACTCACCCATTGGTGGGTTGCAAGTTACACTATAATCTCCGATTTCACAGAAGATTTGGTTATTCAGAGTAGCATAATATTCATTCACTTTAGTTATCAATATTCACTTACATAGCAATGCAGATATCCCAGCAATCAAATAAATGAATAAATTGACTATTAGTCAATTAATCTAAATGAAAAACCTAGAGAATTCTAGGATCTCTTTCATTGCTTTTCAAAATTTATCTGACACTCAAATAAGCTCTATGAACTAAACTAGCAAAGTTTTTAAAATTAGAGTGGATTACCTACACAGAAAAACTTATTTTGTAAAACAATTTTTCTGCTAAACCTACAAAATGCATTTATGCAATACTATGAAAACTAGTATTAGGAAATTTGTCATAAGAACTTACTTCGATGAAGTTTTAAAAGAGTATATGACATTGCAGTCAGTACAACTTCTCCTTCATACATGTATATATCCCAAAGACGTAGAGTCAACGTAAATGGTACCTAGCATTAAAAAAAAACACTATGAAATATTTTAGCATTTTATATAAAATATGAGCAAAACTTCTAGCAATACAAATTTCTTTTTGTTTTACTACACATATGAAATTTTTATATCATAAATATATTTCACAAATGTAGAAAACAGATTCCACATGCAACACTTTTGGAAACAGCCAATATTGGAACTTTTTAATTCCCAAATATAAATTTACATTGATTTTGAAAATAATATCCATATGATAAAAATGAATACATGTGGGTCACACCCATTAAGTGAGGAGAAAGACAATATTTATACATCAAGGCCTTGCAGCTGAGCCTACACCCTCAGTTCCGGACTGCTAGACTCTGCCCAACCCGTGTACTATCTTGTGAGCTGCAGATGCTAGGTAGAAATAAGTACACTAGGAAAATTGTTGAATTTTGCTGCATTTTCGTTACTTAAAAATCTGTAAAAATGACGCTTAAAATATATTTTCATTGATGAATTTTCTTTCCAAATAAAATAACTTTAACAAAATTAACAATATTGATATAAAAACATGATTGGTAGTTAGATTGAAACTGAAGATCTTCGTGATAGCAACACTATATGTTTACCACATTATGCAAGATATGTGGAAGAATTTAAATAAGAGACATAACATAAAATTAGGCAAAGCAACAACCTTGTGTTTTCCATGCCCAACCTTGTGTCAGCCAATTAGTTTTGGCTGATTTCTTTGTTTCTGATGAAGAGGGATTAATCCCTCTCCATTTCTTTTACTTTTTTATAGTCTTAAATTAATAAACAAGCAAAAATAGTTTGAATGAGAATCAATGTTAGGGTGGAGTCCTTCTCTCATATTCCAAACAGAATAATACATCATAACTAAATTTAATAACTGCAGCGATTAACTACTCGATTTGTAATATCCGTCAACATTAGATATTTATATCAGAATCACTAGAGCCCCATTCACATGCAACACTCCTTTGCACAGCTGCCGTTAGCAAGGGGAGAAAAAGGAGACATGAAAGAGTTTCGTCTTTAGAACACGTTCAGAAGACCACCGTCTTCCTTCTCCTTCACACCTAAGCCTCTGTGAACAATCACGTCTCCGAATTGGCAGATTTCTAATACTGTTTACACATTTTTAACGCTGTTTACTGTTGTTAATTTTGTAATCTACTTTTGCAACTGGTACCTAAATTTTCGTAATGGTTCCTGAAAAAATAAATGCTTTTTTAATTATTTATTATTATTTTATAAGCTGTATTTAGTTCACTCTTGGTGCTTGTCGCTATGGTTAACAGATGGTCATGGATTTTTTAAACTGCTTCCCGATAGATATAGAACTCAATCTTTGTACAGACACTGCTTGTGGATGTGGTGTCACGCTTTTGATTTTTAGAGGATTAGATTCTTTTCAAATTTAAAGCTTGAAACGATATTTCTGCAAATATTAACAAATAAACTGAGAATATCAGAATATTATAGTTTGCACCATAACACAAATTTGTACATACACTATGGAGGAAAAAAAATTAAATGAAATTTTTCAGCGTAATTTTTTTAAAAATGTTTTGGGAGAGAATTTTTGAAAATCGTTCACATTTTTAGACTTTTTGACGCCCATTAATTTTAAAATTTCATATCTAAATTATATTCGGTTCACAAACTTCCTGACATTTTCACAGCTTATAAAGCAAACCTTTTTGCATTTAAAAAAAATTGATAAAGGAAATTAATTGGATGATTTTTTTTACTTTTTTGAAAGATATGCAATGAAGCAGAATGGGAAATATTGGTTCTTCTTGGGCATCAATTCAAAACATCAGTTTCAAAGTAATAATCTCATTATACCACACTATTTTTATGACATTATTTATGCTATATAAGTTGCTATTGTTGCCAGTTGTTAGTTCAGCGCAAAATTTGAGATATTTCTGAGTTAACTTTTCTCTTAAGATGTGTTTTGTATTCCGTTGTGTTTAACATTCTTATTAGATTGAAGCATAACTACTGATTATACTTAGTGATATTCTAAACACTTGTATGAGTATTTCTGTGGAAAATTCCAGAACTTTGAAGTGTTTATGTTGATAAAATAAATTTAATCAAGCTATCAATGGATTTGAGTGCAATGACAATCATTTACGAATTATTATCAATCTATTACAAACCCGTATGCAAGCAACAATATTATAATTAATTAATGTATTAAAATTTTTTGTTTTAAAAAACAAAAACAGGTTAAGAAAAAATTCTGCTTGCGTTTTATGAGTTTTTGCAATTTTTCTGGCCACATAAGGTTTTAAAAAATGGTTTGTAATTTATGATTATATTTATCAATTGAATACATAGCACTAGGTTTGATTTATATACATATGTGTGCATTGAAATTTAGTAATAAAATTTTAAAGATTTGAAATGATTAAATGTCTATTTAGACAGTTTGTATTCTTTAAACTGCAAATGCAAACTGAGAAACCTTTTGCATTTTCTTCAATAAATCCTTTTACTTAAGGTCCTAAAACATATACAGGTATGGACTAAATTTTCTATTATTTTTACTGCTTACTTAAAATTATATACTTTATAGAAACAAGGATGGGTTTTGCAAAATACTGAAAGGAAAAATTATTTGAAACGAAAATGTGACTGAGATCATATTTGTTTTAAAGATTTTAGATAAAAGTGTATTTTTTCCCCTCAGAAACTAATTCATTAATTGCAAAATCATTCCCTGAAGTTATTAAGAACACTCTAATAAATACAATAAAAAACTGGGGGGAGACATTGAAAATTGTAGGAGAAGAAAGACATTTTAATTGTAATATTTTTGTTCAAAAATTTAAATTAAAAAAATACTAGCAAAAACGTTTTTTCAGCTTAAATTATTTTGTCTTACAAAACCATTTAATAATATTCATAAAAAGTAGATGAAAATGCTTAAATATTTTTTAAAAAAATCATTCAAAAGGTACCGAGTCCCTTGTCGAGTTGAAGCCGATATGCACTTGTCTTACTTTACTTTAATTTGAACTATATTTCTGGAATACCTAGCATTAGATAACCTTGTCTGTACTTGTCTATAAGTTTCGTATCTTGTACAGTTCTATCTAATTTTGGGGGGCATGCTATCACATCCCCAGACATCTATCAGCGGCCTTAATAAGTGCAATTGTTTCGCTGACAGTCCAGGAGCAGTAACTAAAATTAAGTGAACTGCGCAGCATAGTACGGAAAATCTCCCCGTTTTCCCTGCTCCCGAGAGGTAAGGAACATTCAACCAAGTTCTACCTCCACTTCGGTGAGGAAATTACTGCTTGTCCCATGTGAACGGGACAAGTTGGAAGAACCGGTTTTAGCTACCGGTTGAATCTGCTCTTGTGAACGGGGCTTAGTATGCAGCACTGATAATTTTCCTATCTTAAGTTATAGAAAGTGAGATGACAAAGATGGAAATCAGTCTTCTATAGCGATATAAAACAAAGTACTAGCAAATAATTTTTTGATCTACAGAAGAAGAGGCTTGTTTCTGATTACCCTTGAAACTGGAAGTACTATTAGTACTATTTTATTCAAAATTTATGCCAAACTAAAGCTGTTTTTATACAGTACAAAGTCCATAATCCGGATTCGTCGGGACTTCAGCGATTCTGGATTAAGGGTTTTTCCGGATTATAGATCATCAATTTAAATCTGGTAAGATGGCATGCAGAAATTATACAATTAAAAATGTGAAATCGTAATTTATGAAATAAATAGAAATTATGATCTAAGGGGTATCAAAATTTATGGAAAAAAAGCTTAATATTTATTTGTTTACATTATTAAACATTTCTTTCAATGTAAGTTGTTTAAGTTGCTTCGTTTTTTGTACTAAGCGTGCATGCGTAAACATTAAACGAGCATGCGTAGCATTAAACGCACATGCGTAAAGCATACAAAAAAAACAGTTTGTGGATTTGAGGTCCGGATTATAGATCATTTTGGATAATAGGCGCCCGGATTACAGTACTACTATTGTACTGTACCTAATTTAAAATTTTATACTGGCATTTTGTTCTTCCATTTGACATAAAAATAGTTTTTATATTCTTTTTAAATGAAATAACTGTAAATTAATCTTCTTCTCTTGAACAATTAAATGATACAATGCTATATTTTACTTGCATTTTTTCCCTTCTTCTGGTGACAAATTTATGAGCATATAGCACTTCAAAAATAAATGATGGCTTCCAAATGTATGATCAAACAGAGCCTATAATTTAGTGATAAATTCTACTTAGGATTGGAAGGTTGTCATGCTAAAATTAGAAAATAAATGTAATCTTCTTATCAAACGTAAATTACTCCAGAAAAAATTTTATTCAAGAAACTAAGTAAGAGGAGTAAAAAACCACACACACAGTTTTCTATAAAGGCAAATTGCTTTCTTTTCCCCCCTCTTATACATAGGATAATAAAGTATCTGCGATTTTTGTTAAAATCCATCTTCTTTCCACCTAACATGGCTGTTTACAGTCAATAAAAAGATAACTTTCCATTCGAAATTTGTTACTTCACTTCGTAAAATATTTTGCTTATTTTCCTTTATGTTTTAACAGTCATTTTTCCTTTCAGCTAAATCATAAACAGTAAAAAAAAATACAATGCAAAGTTATGTTAATACATGCTTAGGTATGAAGAATTATTTATAAATTACTCTAAAAATCATCGGATGTCTAAAAAAGACAAAACTGTTGAGGTTCTAAAACAAGAAAATAATTTTTAAGTTATAAAACCACTTTCTTACCCTGTCTAAAAAGCACTGGAAAAACCATTTCAGAGTGTAAAGGCTAGTGTGTATTTCATACTTATCTAAATGCTTTTTTAACTTGGGCAATAAACGGGTGAGGATTTTGTCATGATGTTCTTGAAACCGCTGAAGTTTTGGAAAACCAGGTATGAAGAAGCCTGAAAAGAGAGGAAAAAAGAATCTTTAAGCAAATTGTGCAGTATTTAAAAAATATTACAGCAAATCATGTAGAAGATTTCAGTTTGAAGACAAGTTCCTTTAATGAAAGAATTGAAGAAACTGGCCTATATTTATATTATTATATAAATGTAATTAAAAAAAAGCCCTCTTGTGCAGAAAAAATAATTGTTAAATAAATTAGTCACTTTTGTAGGACCTTTTTAACCATCCTATTATCTGATAAATCAATGAGCATTATTTAGTATATACTTTTCCATTCATCTAGATAGCCCTTGCATTGTTTTGCCATAACTTATTAACAAACTCATTATAAGAAACCCATTCCTGTTATATTTCAAAGGCATATATATATCACAATATGCTGGTTTGTATAAACTCAAATCACACACCATAGAGGCAGGCTTTGAATCTTGAAAAAGGGATGGATGTTAAGATGGAATTCACGAATTCAATAAAACTAATCAGACAGCCCTGGTGTGTTCTGGCACATAAACTAACCAACCCTAATCTTAGATTCCAAACATTACATGCTTATTGTCTACTTATATTCCTGATAACTTATATTTCTGATATATATGTGTGTGTGTGTGTGTGTATTGTTTTACAGATAAATTTTGAGTTAATTTATAATTACTAATTGATATAATTGACTGGTGAGAGTTAGTCATATTTATTTACTATGAATCTGTTATAACACTACTTCCTTCTGGATTCCTGCTTTCTCTTTCACACAGAGCAACTTTCCCTAAAGAATTTCTAGAAAAAAAACTTTTTTCCTCTATTGAGCTTGTAAGTCCCTATGCTAAGAATTTTGCGAAATGCCAGAAAAATGGAAATATTAAATCGGGAGGATTCGATATTCCATTACTAACAGTAAAAATGCTTTAGTTAGATTTAAAATTGACATTTACATTGATAGCCAAATGAAATTTAGATACAATATTTTAACTATTAGCTACAATGTCTGAAAAACTGTACATTTGAAAGAGACTATATATATCATTTCATAGCAATTTGTCATTTTGGTCAAAACTAAAATTTACTAAATACCACAGTCTTCTTCTGAGAAGTATAACCTGAAAATTATCAAGACTGACAAAAACTTTCAACACCATTACGCCAATCCAACATTATTCATAAAGGTGCAGGACACTTTATAACAAGTCAGTGTTTTTCAAAAGGGTGCCAAAGCTTTATTTCATTTCCTTTTCAATGAATTAATCTGTAATTGAAATGAAAATCAAACTTCCATAATGTTGAATTATCATAAGGTGAGGATGATCAATTTCAGGTAAGAAAGTGATCTTTCAAACTATGCATGCTCCCTTATGCCACAGCATTATTGTGAAGAATTTCCATCTTTTCAAACATCAGCCGACTTCCACAACGGTGTGGCACCTTTATGTCACCATCCCACTTTCACAACATATGAGCTGAAACTGTGTTTTGGATTAGGCCCATGATTAAAAGAAGTTCAGATTATAGAACTTGTTACTGTTTCAAAACTTGTTAAAAAAAATAAGAATAAAAAAAAAAAAAAAAAAAAAGAAAACTTCAGTTTCACAGAAAAAAAAAAAATCGCTCTTTAATTCCAAAAAACCGAGAAAAACCATCCAAGTTAACGAACCTAAGATTATAAAACAAACTAGCCAGTGAAAAATATGTCAAGTCAATTGCAAATGAAAAAAAAAAAAAAAAAAAAAAAACGAGCCATCTGTTTTTTCAAATCTTCCCCAGTAACCTAGACCCACCCTCGGCCGCCTTTTTCAGCCTGGGGTGCGGGGGCCAACCTAATACACGCTTTTTGGGCCCCTTCCAAGCCTCCTCGAAACTTTTTGCGAGTCCTTTCTCGTCAAATAGATTTTTATATTTCCCATAAAGTTTCACTATAACTGTAATCACATGAAAAAAAACCAATAAAACATGGTGACCTTCTCAAACAGGAAAATACACTACTCCCCTAATCAAAATATATTTCAACCAATCACTATCATTGGGCAAAAGGAAACCACACTTTAGAACACAAATGATGGCAAGCAAAAAGCAAAGCTGAAGCCAAGACAAAAAAAAAAAAAAAAAAAAAGGTCGTTCTTCATTTCAATCTTTAGAAATTAATTAATTTTTCTCAACCATTATTTAACAGAAAAATAACCATTACTTGACGATTTATAACTTTGAACAGGCAGGGCTTATTTCGAAGCATTTTACTTCTTCTTCCTGTAAAAATATAAGAGGTAGGTTCCACGGGTCGAAGATTCTAGATAAACATTTCTCAAAAGATAACCAGCAATTACATACTTTTTTCTTGTTTCAGTATTATGCAGCTGTTGGAACTGTTTCAATTTTTCCTTCCTTTTCACAATCTTTCCAAGATAATAAATATCAATGATGTGCTCATCACACTTACTGACAAAGAAGCTAACCCTTTTTCACTCCTAAATTTAAGAGGTGACAGGTGCATTTCAGAATCTGGTAACACGATTTTTTTTTTTAAGATGCCTGCAACATCAGTTGACAAGCCTAAAATTCCTGATGCATTGTTGGCATTACCGTATTTGATGGCATATAAGACGCACCCTCATTTAGACGGCCACACACAAGGGAAAAAAGTTTCAATAGCATGGTTTCTTTTAGTTCTCACATTTCGTAAAAGCCAAACAAACAATTAATGAATGCAATTACCTTCACGTATAAGATGCAGGTAACTTTTTTGAGACCAAATTTAGGAAAAAAAGTGCATCTTATATGCCGTCAAATACGGTAAGTGCTAAGCAATTACCCTGAAGACTGCACATTGTTTTTAAAGTTTTAATAATCAGCTGTGCTATGTATTAAAGCCTGTCGAATCTTCTTCTAAGGTGGTGGGACAGAAAGTAAACTACATTCAATTTCTGAAGACTCTGGATAAAAAAGAACCCTTGAATACAGTTTTGCATCAGTATTATTGCTTCTATCCATACAAGCAGAATGGTACTGTTTTTTAATGTAATCAGTAACTGAAGATTTCATTTTCATACTAATTTCTTGAACCCATTTCTTCTACAATTGCAGCAGTTTTTGTCCTCACTCTTCAGTATTTCTTAGCAATTTTACTGCATGGAAACATTTTTCTAAAAATGCTGCAGCATGATCTGCTGCATTCAGTGGCAGGTTGTGCATCAGTAAAAAGACAGAGAAAAGGCATTCTGCATTAATAAATCTTTGGTCCTTTGTTTCAAAACAAAAATTTAATTTTTTTTTAATACAGATCACGTTACCCTTGTGTACGCACATCAGTTGTTCCACCATGCGAAATCAAAAAATTTCAATAACAAACAATATACACTGCAATATTACATTTCCTTTAGGAAATAATAGAAAGTCAGTCATCTGTGTATGAATTTTGAAAAGTACATCAGTATTTCACATTTTTTGCAGACATAACTAAGATTAAAGATCACAGTTTCTGCAAAGCATGTGAAACTTAAATGTTTACTGGGAACACGAATGAAAAACAACTTCAATCTTGCTTTGTGCTCATTGGCTAATATATGCCAGATAAGGAGCAGCAGCACTTAATTCTCACTGAAGAATTGGAACATGACATTTTCACACACATGTTTCGGACTCTCATACACAAAACAGAAACATGCCATCTCAGTGATGAAACGACTTCCCTTTTTTTTATATGCATCTAGAGAAAAACAAGTGCTTTCAGAAGCCAAAAATTACTTTTTTGGGGTGTAAATAAAGAAGTATTAAGTGAAGCTACATAAAAATCGTGAGAAATTTTAAGATTAAGAATCTAGTCGGGAGAAATATGTTGAAAATCGGGTTGGTGGGAGCACTGTTGAAAATCGGGAGAGTTATCAACTCTGAAGCTCAATTGCCTTATTATTTTCAATAAATGCTGCTGTTTGAATTGCAGAGGTATAAAAAAAAGATGTATTTTTCAGCTAACAGGGCATCACTTGGTATCAAATATAAATGTTGGTGAAAAATCTTACTTGCTACAGTAATAGAAAATTTAATGATGTATACAGTTTCATGGAAGAATAGTTATTTTTTAGAATCCAAAGTTTATAAATAAAAATGACAAATACAGAAATTTCCGAAAAAGAATGCATGCAATTATTTCTATCAACACTTGTACAGTAATTTATTTCTAATTGCAGTCAACAGAATTTTACAAATGTGAGAGCTTGACACTATAAGTAAATAAACTGAGTAGCTATCAGAAAAGGCATGCATGAACATTCGAACCAGCATCCACTCAGTAAATCTTTCTTTTTGTGACATGATATTTTATTGCAGCACCATTTCTTAGCTCCAGTAGTAATATTATGCAGTTTCATTGTATAGTTCTCTGAACAAAGTTTTTCAGTATTACTGATAAGTCTTCCTCAAGAGAATTTAATCTTTCAAGACAATGTGACTCTCTGTCACTTGGCAGTTGCTAAACAGTGCAATCCATATTAACTACAGTACAAAGTCTGTAATCTGAACTCGTCAGGACTTCGGCGATTCTGGATTAGGGATTTTTCCGGATTATAGATTATCAATTTAAATCTGGTAAGATGGCATGCAAAAAATATACAATTAAAAATATGAAATAAAATATTAAAAATTAAGTAATTTATAAAATAAAGAGCAATTATGATCTAAAGGGTATCAAAATTTACAAAACAAAGCTTAATATTTATTTATAAACATTTCTTTTAAGGTAAGTTGTTTAAGTTGCTTTGTTTTTTGTGCTAATACTTTCTCTTTAATTCTATAAACAGACATAATTTCTTGTTCAGTTACAATTTTGAGACAGATATGCCTTTATCCATTTTTTGCAGCAATTCCACCTTTTGTTTGATGGACATGCTTTCGCTTTGTAGATCCTTTAGCAGCTCCAGAATTGGAAACTCTTTTTGACATAATCGAAAGTTCAAGCTTAATTTTTATAAAATTGCTCTAACAGTCTGCAAAAAATAATAAGCCGGATTCAATTAGAAAATTAAGGAACAGTGAATTCTGCAACATTAACTGAAATGCCTAAGAATCAGTAAAGATAATTTAAATCTAGCTTATACCGTCCGTTATACATAAGCCGGATTCAATTAGAAGATTAAGAAACAGATCTTATTAACATTATTAATCTTATCAACATTAACTGAAACACCTTAGAATCAGTAAAGATAATTTTAGCCTAGCTTATACCGTTCGTTACACATTAAACGCGCATGCATAAATGCATTACGCAAACGCATACAGCATACAAAAAAAGTTTGTGGCTTTGAGGTCCGGATTATAGATTATTCTCGATAATGGACGTCAGGATTACGGACTTTGTACTGTATTTCTTAAAAAACAACTGCATGTCGATAAAAATGCAACTGAAATGTTGCATAGCTACTTGTAAGGAAACAGATTATTATACTCTGATGCAAAATTAATACCAGCACGACATTTAACAGGAAATTACAACAAAAAATCACCCATATTTCATACATTTGAATAAAATATCTATTATATTTTGCAAAATTTCATACATCTTCAGTTTTCCAATACAGAACTATAGGAAAATTTGCAATCGACTGAAATCCAGTGAAACTCAACATGTCTATAAAAGAGACCCCGTTTACAGTTTTTATTAGAATGAGCTTGGAGAAAGTATCTACATTTCAATGTATTAATAATTTTCAAAGGCGTGGAGTCAATCTAAATCATTCAGCTTTCTTTGGAATCAGTTAAATCTGCTACTCTCGCTTAAAGCTATGTCACCATCAGTTATAGTTTTTTATATTAAGTATTATTATTATTATTTTATTATTATTTTTACTGTCTGTATTCATACGTACTTGTTACATATATGATACAACTTTTCCTACTACGGACAGTTTTGAATCAAAATCCAGAAATGAACTAACTGAGGAAAATTCCTAATAGAACCTAATAATCTAATCAAGATTACAAGATATGACAATAGACCTCCATTTGTTAACAATAAATTTTGACAAACTTTAATGCACGCATTAAATGACACAGCAAACCGCTTCAAAAAAGTCAATTGTATTACAACAAATTGTAACAAAGGTTGAATCACTGAAGCCAATGCTCCGTATTTTTAATACAAATTCAAAAACAATTATGGAACAATTTTTAAATCTGGTATTCAATTTATAACTCATAAGAATGGTAACCTCTAACAATTTGAATTGGTCATCACAGGTTTATTCTGATTAGATCTCATGGAATACTTATTTACTTTTATCTGCTAAATCAGAGTTTTTCAAATAATGCTGCATTGATGAACTAACACTTAAGCAAATGTACCTTCAATCATTTTAAGTATAGCAGAGAAAACATTCAAGGGTGGTTAGCCTTAGGAAAAATATCATTGTGCTGAATCTACATAAGTGAAATTATCTGACATCCATATTCACACACAAGGAAAACAGCAAAAGCGTCATGCAGCAAGGTTTATCAGTCCCTAAGAAGAAATGGACACATGATAAGTTAAAACAGGATTAATTACTTGTGTTTAAGCAATGTAGCCATCAAAAAGTTTGATCTCCACCTCTCCCCTCCCACTTTTTTTTTCTTTTCCCCCAAATGTAAAAACGTTAACTTTAAGAAAATTGAATGCCAAACACATTCAAATTCAGCATAACATAACAAAAACAATTAAAGAGAAATTGATGAAAATGAACATAGAAATCTTTTTAAAATATAACTGAAATTACAATGATAATATAAAACATTATTAACTACAGTTATAAAATGCTACTAAATTTTAACTTGCATAATAGCAAGATTCAGTTATAAAGAAATAACTTACCATGCATAGCATGTTTCTCATCACTCATTAGACGAGATAATGCCCAAAAGGATTCCTAAATGAGGAGAAAATAAATTACTAAAAAATTACACACTACAGATCCTCAAAAACATTACATTAGAATTAATAATGTATAAAAATTACAGGTTATGTTTTTATTTAATATATTTACTAATATTTATTTAATATATACATTAATTTATGGAAGTTAAGCTGCTGAAATATATTTTCTGTTGCATTTAAAAAGAAAATGCAATTTTTAGAGCACCTTTTTTCCACAAAGTATAAATTGTTCATTAAAAAAAAAAACAGTAAAATGAATGGCACATACAAAACTATACTAAAAGTAATTCCTATTTCTACTTCCCCCCTCTTTTGTTGAAGATTATATTTCTCACTATCATTTAGCTAACAGAAAATAATTAATTTTTATTTATGCTTCAATTAGAAAAAAGGAGGAAATTCTTAAAAGAATAAAATGAGACCACGCTCTAACTATTATATTTGAATGATACACTTTTTTAATACCATTTAATATCAAATTTCAAAGTACAAAGCCTGAAATCTGGAATGATCTAATATCCAGACCAGCACAGACTACCCAGAAAAAAAAAGGGGGGGAGTTTTTTCCCCTTATAATTAAGTCTTTAAATGAGAATATAATACTCAAAGTAAAAAAGAGGTATACTGTAAATGTGATTTTTTGAAACTGCACCATGATCAATAACAATATAGCATCTGCAACTTATTAAACTCACTGGTTAATACACTCAGCTGCTTATTATCACTGGTCACAAATTATTAAATTTGACTGGTCACAAATTAATTCCTTTCACAACTAACTCATTTATCATACCAGAAAGAAATATTAAATAAAATTTATTTATATTGCCCACATTATGAGTAAAATTGCTTGTCAAAAATGTGTTTAAGTTCAAACTTCCAGTAACCAAACCAAATGTACAAATGTCAGTAGAAAAACTGCCATTTCTTAGACTCATCTCAACCACTTATTAAACTCATTGACAAAAGACTGTTTCTTCAGTGCCAGAATATCCTATTTGATATATACAAAAATATACTGATAGGTACCTATAAACTTTTCATAGCTCATCCGTTTAACGTATAGTGGGCAGCGGGCATTTTTTATCTGCACTGGATTTTATAGTAGTAGAATTTCCTTAAGGTTAACAAAAGCAATTTTATAGAGTATAAGCACTGTTAATGAGTGAGGGTTCCTTATCAAATACCAGCTGATATGAGATGGAAGTCCAACTCTCATACCCCATATTTAATGTTTCCACATTCAAAATCGTCCCCAAACAATTATATAAAATTCATGAAATGCTTCTAAGAATTATTATACATTAAGACTCTTTGAATGACTCTTCGAGTGGTACCTGTATACTGAAGAAAAATCAAGGAAAGCACTTGTGTTTTGAAATTACATAAAATACAGGAAGAAGCCTTGTTTTATTTTGTTGAGTGCTTAATTTATAATGTATCAAAAATGATTAAGGGTTAGATTTAAACTTGGAAGAAAAGAATAAACCTAAGGCCTCAATGTTCTTGGTGAGGCCCCAAACAACTGCATTTAAACTAAGAATTTCTCAATCAACACAGTTCAATTTACTTTAGAGAAGAAGTATAACTGTTGAAGAACTAATAAAAATGCAAATGCCTTTGATAGGTTCCTTGAGGCTTTAGCCCTTCCTTGAAGAAAGAAAGCTGACAGGCATTGAAATTGCTTTTTCTATAATAGTTTCAAGCTATATTTTTATTTCTAGAGCTTTTTTCACTAATTCGCTAAACAGAAAAGAACTTCATATCAAACAGCATATGGCTCACAAAATGGAGAGAAATCAAACATTTTCTTATCAGAAATTGCATGATGATAAAAGTAAGCAGATCATCATGTAGCTGATAAATGGATAGAACACATTTTACTTGAGCTGCTAAATGAATATAAGCCACACGAAATTGCTAATACAGCTGACTCTGTACTAGGTTACAGAACATTACTAGAACACACATTAATATTTCAAAGTGAAACAGCTGTTTGTTTAAGAAACTGAAGGAATAAATTATTGTGCTATCAATGTGTTATATGGACCCAAGAATCAAGAAGATAACACTGGTTACTTACAAAAGCAGAAACCTATTTGAAAGGAGCCAAGAATTTACTTCTGACTTGCCATAGCAGCAAGAACTCGTGGACAAATATGATGGAACAACTTTAACTCACTAGGTTTGCAACTCAAACAGGAGAATGAAATTCCCTGACTTTTCCATGTGTGTTTTAAGAAAATTCCAGTCTAATCGCATAATGCACACTGGCTCTGCAGAGAAGTAAATTAATCATGGTACCACTTGAAAACACAAAAATTTGCCAACTATGCAATATATATATATATAAACCCCAAAGCATTACTTTTATAGCTATAAGGGTTGTTGTTTTCTCCACTGAAGACTAAAATTAGAATGTGCCCAATCTGGGTTAAAAAATGTCTTTTTTGCAGACATTTTGCAGCTAAACGAAAGATAGAAGTACATTTAATGATATTTTAAAATAAATTCAGGTATTTTATATTTATTTAGCAGCATGCATAAGCAAAAATTATGTGCATCAAATTTCATGATAGTATGTCAACATATTGCTAAAATTAGTTTCAGGATTATGCCACAGAAAATTGCCTGAGATTTGGAAGTATTATTTACTTATAATAAATAAATTTGGAGGAAAGAAACCACATTAAATGGTATGAATAACATTAAAATAAAGTTATTTACTTAAAAATTGAATTACAATAATCAACGATATTTTGGCGAATATAGTTAAATTGGTTAGCCTAGATGACTGATTACTATTTTTTAAAATTTTACTTCAAAATGGCAAATAAGGCATTTATTAAAAAGGAAAAAAAAAAGCTTAAAAGATCTTGTGCTAAAATCCTAGTATACGCTATGGCCTTGGCACGATTTTGAAAATTGTCGCCAACTCCAAAATGACCCGTTTACTGCTTATCGCAATGGCACCAAATCCTGTCTGTATTGTATACTAGCATTAAACCAACTTTGTTTTATACAAAAATATGTATTATTATGAAGGAAAACTTCTCTACAACAGGAGTGTCTCTGTCTCAACGTAGAGGGAAACAGCTGCACATGCTTGAAATATCTGTTGCCAAAGTTCAAAGCCGGCGTTGAAGTTTGAAGGTCACGTTTATGAAGAATTCATAATACGAATATCGTTTTAAATTTCTTTAAACGTTCAAGGGAAAAAATTTTTTTTCCGCGTAAGTAAATAAATTAACAGATTAGTTATTTTGAGCAAAAAAGTACGAAACTCTGAGTTTAAATTATCGCGAAAAGTCAAAGAAGAAAACGTTTTGTCAAAGAACGTTTCTTCTTAATGCGTTCCCCAATTTCCAGTACATGTTGTGGAGGGGGAAATTCTTGCTGCCAGGTTCCGTTGGCAAATTTCTTGGAGAATTTTTCCCTCCGCTTTCTAGCAGCATAATAGCAAAGTGAATGACATTACATCTATGGAACCTTTCCTTCTTTACATTACCGTTCTTGGTTTTATACAAGAATGGGAAAGTATTTCCTTTAGTTCAACATGCACTGCACATGCGTATGCGAGTCTCTCAATTCTTGAGGTTACTGGAAACCAAAGTTGCTGGAAACTTGCTTTGCCTTCTAAAAGACAATTTGATTGGAGCTGCAAAAATTGGTTCTGCGCCAGCTGCTCAAATCACACTAACGTGATACAAAATTGAATGTTGGTGCAAAACTTGCTTATGGGGGGGTCGTTTTATGAAATTCCCTGACGTTTCAAGATTTTGACTAAAATATTTAAATTGCCTGACTTTTCCCTGGCATTTTTTGGTCAATTTTCAAATTCCCTGACTTTTTCTGGTTTTTCAGGTAGCATGGCAACCTTGGCTCACTTAACTCACAATAATAGGCTAAAGTTGTTCAGTTTGTCCCTGACTAAATTCAGCCTATTATTGTGAACACTCTGTATGAAGTAGTTCTGTAAGTTATTGTGATGTTATTACACATATATCAAAGTTTTTTCCCAGCAATTTGTTCTGATTTAATATATACATAATATGAGGATTCACGGATCCAAAATCATCATCTCATAAGGACGCTGAAGCGGGATGGCATAAAACTGAATGTTTGGTGCAGGATGCTGCATAAAAAGGTTTTAGGATCATTTTTCTTCAACGAACAAACAAAGCACTCAGAGTTTACCTCAATATATTGATTAATAAAATCTGCTTACAGAAGGAAGACTGTAAGACGTAATGTCTGGACTATGGAGCAAATGCCCACTGAATGAGAAGAGGGCTTCATATGTCCCATTTTTTTAAAAATGAGACAGACTGGAATGTAACAACTATGGAGATATCACCCTCTTCTTTCTGGCATTTAAAATCTTCTCTCATATTTGATATAATACATTATTAAAATGTGCCTCTGCAGTTATTGGTAGCTACCAATGTGGGTTTAAAGTTGGAAAATCAACTGTTTATGAAATTCATTCTGTTAGACTAATTGTGGAAAAAATAACCGAACATAATACTGATACCTTTCATCTTTTTGTAGATTTTAAAGCTGCTTATGATAATATGCTGTGAAAAGCTGTTTGAAGCTATGCTTTAATTTGGATTTCTTAGAAAATTGATTGATCTATCTAGAATGATTTTAAAGAGAGTAAATTGAGTTAAAATCATGTCTGATATACCAGAGGCATTCTACATTGATAGGGTTTTGAGACAAGTTATATCCTTGCATACATGTTTTTTAACATTGCTCTTGAAAAGGCTATTAGAGATGCCAGAATTATTACTAGAGGTACCATATTTCAGAGTTACTAGAGTACAGAGTTACAGAGTACATATACAGTTACTAGAGTTAGCAATTTCCACAGTTTAATGCCAGATGACGTCATAACCATTCAAAAGCAATTGTAATAATGTAAAAGAGAGACAGAATGTAACCATAGCAAGAGATGACATTAAATACTCATTCATTTTTAAAAAATAG